CTTTTTTAAAAGGCTCAGTGTTAGAATTAAGTAGAAGATGGCTAGAAACCTGATGGAGAAAACAAGGCAGTTTTCGATCGTGCTGCTGTGGAAATTCATTTCGAAAAGTCATGAACAGGCTCTTATGAACGAACATCTAATTGTTGATTTTCTTCCTCTATTCCTCTAATAGCTTCTCTGCCTTTTCGAAATGAAAGTTGGACGTTCTGGTGCTGATTCAGTTGCGGAGCGGCTGGGATTGATTTTGTCCCTGCATTCACCGTGAGAGCAGCTGAAAAGTTCAGAAGGTAATTTTTCAGCGGAAAATCTCTGGCCACTGTTAATGCTTCATCTCCGAATAATCAGATTTCTTTTCCTATTTGTCCTCTTTGTCCTATTTGCGCCATTCAGCTTTCCGCCTCGTCTATTTTCATATGCTCTGGGTATATTCTACAGTCCAAAATGATTTTGATTGATTGATTGATTAGAGCTGACTGAGGTTTTTAAGACAGTAGAACGTTAGACCCATACTCATAACACAGAGATCCCAGGTTCGAGTATTGGTCAAGTCACTCGTCTGTCTTTTCTCCGAGGTTAACGAATGATTGCCATTCAGCGAAAATGAAACAGAAAATTACATACTTTGGTTACCACGTGGCTGTTGCCGACTCCTCCTTAAAAATGTGGTATTCCTGGTAGTAGAGATTAGCATCTTACCTTTTACTTCATTAAAACTGTTTAAATGATGATTTCAGAATTGGCTCCATCGTGGAAGCATAAAGAAGACCGGCCTTCCAGCGGATATATCCGTAGTATTCGCGAAATCTGTCCTTCGAGGAGTTATAATACCTCCAGATATGTACCCATTTTTTAACAGTAAACATCTGAATACTAAAGAGGATCTTAAAGTAAAAGTTTTATATGCACAGCAACACCATCATAACAATCGCACTTGTTCGCACTTGTCCCTTTTCCATACATGTTTGCGGTCAAGGGTACACAAAGCATAACTGCCAGCCTGTTCAACAGTACGTCTGAGTTTCGACACGTGCCATTCGGCAAGCTCATAAATCACGGTCAGCGTTTGTCCTCCGGTGTTTGATCGCATCTGCCGTGGTCCAATTTTATTACTGTGTCCAGCAGGTGACCGATGGCTTGAAGACCGGTTTTAATGACCTATGCAAACTCCATAGGGCAGCGGTCAGCTGCTCAAGTCGGCTGCATCTGTCTTTGAGCGACCGCGTCATCGGTGTCGGCCATTTTCTAGCCCGTTGTACAGTACCGCCACATGCCCTCGCCATGATGGACTAG